TGAAAAATGCAACATAGATATGCCTCTAGCACAACCTTTCATGTACTTTATTTTGCAAAATGTTGTTAGCATCCTTTTTTTTTTTTATTTTAGTGTTGTTTTTAAAATCTGTACAGTTTATTCACTGTTATCTGTCTTTATATTTCCTTGCTTCCTTTGCCACCTGGCTTCTGTGTCATTGGATTGGAGGATATGTATTATCTGAAATTTCTTGAAGGCCTGGTCACTGCACAGTACTCTGGCAGTAAATTATGAACTCTTTCTTTCTCTTTTGTTGTCATTGTTTTGTGAAATGAAGGTGCTTTTGGTAGGTTCTTGATTTTGTAAAAGTAAACGCAAGTAAGAAAGATTATGAGAATAAATAGCAGGGGAATCTGTTCATATAAAATACAAGCTTCTCTTGACTGCCTGATCAGATCAGTTAATTATTGTTTTATCATTTACATAAGGTTTGCGCTCAAACATCTGAGTCCTAAGCCAAAGCAGAAGTGTCAGCAGACTACGTGAGAGACTGATCATGCACTTTTGTTGATCTGGCCAAAAACCAGGAACAAGACCTTTCGGTCATCTTTCTTACTCATAGGAGTCCAAGTCTAAATTGCTGAGCAGTTCCTAGTAGATGTCTTTGCTCGTATGTTGCGTGCAACCGTTTCTCCTTTCTAGTAAGAGAAACAATATTGCCAATGTGATAAACTTCTTGCATCAAATGTAGTTCGTATTCATGTACAACACTTACTGAGATTTGGCAAAGGTGTCTGCAGCTATTTCTAATTCTGTGTGAACCATATTCCAGCTTGCTGCTTCAGTTTCTATTCAAAATGAGGTGTTTTCCAAGCTTCTTTAATGCCTGACTTATATGTACTGTGTCAGTGCATTCACATCTGAAAACAACTGCTGTTTCCCATCCAGTGGAGAAGACCCAAGACTAGAGTTACGTTTTTCAGAAAATGTCTGTATTTCGAGAATCGACAGGAAGATTTTGACCAATTCCTTTGAGGAAGTATTAAAGGTGCGGGACAAGGACTGGGGGCATGAGAACTAAGCACTGTGCTGTCTCACAGTGTAAGCCTGTGGTGCAGACTTGAGGTGTGGATAACAAAATAGCCACAAGTAGGATCTAACTACGGCTGTTCCTTGGGAGAAGGATGCCTGTAGGCTCTTCTCCATCGTCTTAAAAATACCTTACTCCAAGCCCTGTTCATATGTTCGTCTTTTCCCCTTCCTATGGTTATTTATGCTAAAGACAGACTACCAGCTTTTCCTGCCAGGTAGGACTGTAATGCTAATGCTCAGGGGCATTGCCACGCAGAAAGGGAGGAAAAAGAAACAGCAACTCTCAGGAATGCACTGAGGAGTGCTTTATTTATGCTGCTGTGAGTGTGTGTCCTTTGGTCCTTAGTCAGACATCTAAGAAAGAGATCACATGGAAATGTTTCTAGCCATTAAAGTAGACTCAGAGGTGTAAGCAGGCCCAAACTTCACCCAGAAGGTTCTCTGCATTTTATTTCTTTTGTACATAAGGAAGTAAAATGCAAGCCTCTGTTCTCAGGTGGTCTTGGAATTATTCAGCTTGTGCTAAAAAATGTATCCTCTTTGTTTTTCTTTGCCTCTCTGTTAAACATGCCGAGCCCTGTTGATATTGATAAGAATTAGTGGGTTTTTTTCTTTCTTGAATGAATTGTGTCTCCTGTTTGTCAGTTCAGAAATTCCACAAACTCAGAGGCTAAGGGGATTTTCAGAAGGCATCTTTCCAGATGGCGTTTGCAGTACAGTACATGTGGCCATCTGACCCGAGTTTTGCCTCAATATGCTGTTTGTTTACCGTGGGCTGTCTTTCCCTTTAATTTTCCCCAAATCAGTTTAGAGCGTTTCATTTACTGAGTCAGTGGGTTTGCATATGAACAGCTAATCACCAGTTATGGTGGGTGCTAAAGCCACAAAGCAGGGTGCCGTTGAGCCAATGTCTACCTGCAATGCTTAATTAATTTCTCAGTGATGTTTCTAGCTTCTGAATATTTTGCTGCTGGTTTAACACAGAGGGAGATGTTTGATACATAATGTTAGGGGTATGCCACCAACAGCCCAGATTCAGATTTTTCCAAATGTGCCACTGCACTACTTACAGGATGCATCATGTACGTAGTACCATCTGCCATCATTGACGCCGTTTTCTGTATAGTGAATGCCAGCCTCATTCGGAAGTCTTTACTATGGTATCCAGATCATCATCTGCTCTGGTTCACTTCAGCAGGTGTTAAAAGACCTGGACTGCCCTGCTGTGAAGCTTAGAAACCATGGAAATCACAGCCAAAAATGCCCATTTGGACACAGTGCCAGCCGATTCACTCAGAGCCAGTTCATTAGAGTCTGCGTATTGTACTTTGCCAACGAGCTGATCTCCCACATCTAATGCCAACTATTTCTTTCCTTCAAACAGCTGACATGTGTGCAAAGGCATCCGTTGCAATTCATCAATTGCTTCAGCTTTTGCTCTGGTGTTACGTTAATAGCTATCAAAAGCTCCTTCTTTTCTCACTTCTGACTGTGTAGACATTGCCTTTTACTCCCTGGCAGGTCTCCAGAAGAGACAGAGGTCTGAAAGCTCCTGTGTAGTTGGAGCTTCAGGGCTTTACCTCTCAAATTTTGAACTGTCAAAATGGCACAGTAAAGTTGCTCCAACTTATCTGTATTAGCAATTTCATATAGTGCGTTACAGTAGAGTTGGCATTAGGGTCCTAAAAGTGCTTCACATGCGGACTCTCAGTAAGAGGAGTTGCTTTCCCTGCTATAGGTTGAGTGCCTTAAATGTCCACTGCCATTCCAAAGTTATTTAAAAAAAAAAAAAAAAAAAAGTTTAGTCCTGATCAGTTTTCTCAAGGAAAATTACTTAAGTGGGTCTGAAAGGTATTCCAATGTTATTTAAGGGAGAGCAATTTTAACTATAGTTTCAATAGGCTCACTTCATAGGTATTTGAAAAAATAAAATGCCCGACAAGTTCTTTCATCTTGATTGTCACATGACATTAAGACCATGTATGCACTGAGAGTTAGGAGGAGCTATGCAAATATCAAGTTTGAAGGCATCTGCCTTCTGCACCGTAAACATTTGTCAGCAGCCTTTTCCACCAGTGTTGGTTCTGGTGAACTTGTGGGCATGAGCTCAGCCCTCCTCATCTGCCTCCCTGGCCATCACTTTGTGCTGTCTCTGAAGCAGTTCCTGGCAGTCCTGCTCAACTCTGCTTTTTCTCTCTGGTGTCTGCGAGGTGAAAGTGCTTACAATTCATCCTGATGTTTCCACTGTCTGATATTATGAAAACAGACATGGAACTCTACAAGTCCTATCCAAAACTTGGGATGAGAATGAGCTGGTAGTCAGACATGGGCAGTGGCTTGTCCCAGAAGTGCTGTGGTCTGGAAGGCCCCTGTGATGGTTTGCTGAACCACTCAAAACCTTACCCATCAATCTTGAATGTTGGGTCAAAATAATGTAACAAAATCGATTCACAGACCCTGACGTGTATCAGTTGGTGTCATAGGCGCTAGCAGTGCAACAGACTCAGGAGTGATTCCAGGCAAGTGCAGTGATTTTTTTGGAGTGGGGAGAGAGAGAGAAGAACCACATCTAGATTTTTTGGCCTCTGTCATCGTTTTGTAGTGTAGTCAAAGTCTTTGTAACTTGGGAGACAGACAAGTGAACTACTCTGTTACTGTTACCTAAATTCAGTACTGATAGTTAATGTAACGGGTATCAAGTACTACCTACCCCGAAATTGTGAGCATACACTAGTAACAATAGCAACATTTCTGTCCTTTCGACTCCTAAATCTGACTTGGCTGCCAGGACAGACTTACTCCGTAAGATAGGAACAGCAAGCAAAATCTAGCAGTTGTATTTTATGCTGAGAAATGGATAGGGATGTTCTGTGCTATCAAAGCAAGAAAGTAAATAATGTTATCGGGTATTCCTGTGAAAAATAGAAATTTAATTCCTAGCAACCTAGGTGTTGGCTTTGAAGTGTTAAAAACCAGAGGCTTCTTTTTTAACATGCGTGGGTGCTAGATACTGTGCTGAACGCTTTCTTGTGTCCAAAAAATCCATCATTAATGTAGCTTTAATAACCTCATTCCTTCAGCAGTCTCACTTCTACTAGTTGTTGAGATGAGACCCAGCTCCTGCATGTAATATATATATATGTGTATTTTACTTATGCTTATCAACAAAGCTGCTCTTCTTCCCAAGAAAATTAGAAAACTATATTCATATAATACAGATTCTGACACTAGCCTGTTGTGGAAGGGACTGTTTTTCTTTTCATACAATGAGGGAGCAAAGGTCATAAAATGAGAAAACTACATGAAATAAATTTATATATAGGGATAAATGCATAGATATATAGTCAATCACATTAAATGTAAGAAAAATGTTAGAAAACAAATTCCCTAAGGTATTTCAATTAATAAAAAACCCTTATTATTGCTGAACTTTAACTGGAAAGTCTGTAGAAACTTGGAAAGAGGTAAGGAAAAACGGATTTTTGAAAAAAGTATATGGGGGATGAGAGTGTGATTACTAGTGGTGCCTGCTTATTGTAGCTATTTTCCTTGTGTTTTTACTGCTGCCAGAATATATAAGTTTATTGCTGAAAAAGTTGTTGAATCTGTTAGGTGACATCTTAGGGGAGTGTGATCTTTGTGCTGCAGATAAGAGGTATTAGCTTATCCCTTTAAAATTACAGACACATATGTGAAAGCTAAAACAGATGTTTTGGACTCAACTTTACCAAAAAGAAAGGCCAATAGTTCCAATATTAAATAGCATATACTAAATATTACAGGCTTCCAAATCTGTGGAGTTTTCTAAAAGGATTACATGAGCAAAAGGGAGGGAGAATTGAATTTTTGGTGATTAGAAAACATAGACATGAAAGAAGAGTTGGGAATTTTGTTAACTTTTGGATAATGCTTGTGATGTTTAATCTCCTATGTTCTCTTTCTTCTAGCTACGAATGTCATGGCTCATCCATGGTGTCTTGCTGGGAAATATATCCCTGGTGCTGGTCGAGAACAAGACAGGAAAGGAGCAAAGCCAGGTGTTCTGGCATTCAGATAAAAGCGAAGGTTTGGGAATGTGGCAGTGGATGATCTTACCTCTCCCAGATATGCTGGATAGGTATGAGTCTCCTAATCGTTCTTCGTGATCATCAGTCATTTCAACACTAGCTACCTGGCAGTGACAATGGCCAGGATTGCTCCTGGAAGTTGTTCCCTCAGGGATAAGCAGCGCTTTGTCCCTGGGAGGTATCTTCTGTCAGAGGTGGCGAATCCGAATAACTGAGTGGTAAAAGCAAAGCAACCAATTTTAGAACTCCTGAGTGGTGGTCTTGGTTCACAGACTGAGTCAATGAGTAGTCTACAGCAAGGTACTTAAAATTCTGTCTCCATTTCATCAACTGGAAATAATAATTCTCCTCACATACTGTTTTACGTAGCATGTTTGATCCTTTTGTGTGGTTTGCTGGAGTTGGATGTGAGCTCCATAGCTGATTTTTTTTTTTTTTTTCTGGGTATCAAAGTCCGTAGTGTTCAATGTGTCTAGATCTGAAGGTGAAAGACATGGGAGAAGAACCTGCTGCAAATCAGACAGGAATAGATCTTGAACATCTGTGTTAGCTGTTGCAGGAGGCTCAGCTTAATAAAGGGCTGTCTCAGTTATGACTGAGTATTCTGGCTTTAAGCATAAAAGGTTTATCTGGTAGCATATGCTTAATCTGGTAGCATATGCTTATTTAAAGAGTGTTGTTTTAGCTGTTTCTTACAAGTCAGCTATAAGGGAATACTCTTGTTCATTGTTTACTTTTTGTGTGTGCTCTGGCTTATGCTGTTTATAGAGAAGACACAGATATCACCTCCTGCTGCCCTGGCCCTTAGGGCTGTAAGATGCATCTCCAATCTGTGTCATGAGCACTGGTGTCCTTTGTCTCTTTGGAAGTCTGTGCCCTAGAAATAATGGATTTCATTAAGGGATAGTTTGCCTCATAAGAAGTTTGAACAAACATGGTATGAATATGTCTTTTATCTTGCCGGCTCTTCGGGGATGCATGTAGGCTGCAAATACAACAAGGACACTGCCAACGCTTCGGTCCTGAATGTATAATTAATATATGTGCGTCAAAGATTTAAAAAATATCAGCATTAGGCTTATTGTGCAGTCGCTGATGAAGCACCATTTGTAAAAATACCTGGTTACTTCATTCCCTTCAGCTGTGTTTCCTTTGAAGAATGGTATATTTTGCCATTATTATTTATGTGATTTATTTTCTAATGTTGCCAGGGGAATGTTTTGTACCTGAATTATTCTGTACTCTTATACTATTGCTTTCTTTTAAATTCTCTCTGGTTGCACAGTCAGGCAGAGAATACTTTGATCTTAGGAGCCAGGCTAGCAGCGGTTCATGTGGAATCACAGATTCAACTGGTAACATTGTGCTATTATGTATAAGGTACTGGTACCCTTACTTCCCCTTTACTTACAGGAAAGACAGCTGGGCTCACTGAGCCAAGAGAGTTGTTGGAGGTTAAGACATAAGCAAGGAACACTTTGAAGTTTTGGTGTCTCTTGAAAAGTTTTTGTCCTTATTTATTCACAGAAAGTGCACTATTTTAATGAATCTTTTTCTAAGATTAATTTAGTTGAAACTAGTCCTTCCTGGGAAGGGAGAAATCTCCTGTGAGACCTGAAAATACCACAGGCATCTTTCTCACCATCTCAAAACCTGTTTCTTAGGAAATCTGGACTAATGCACAAATTAGGAAGGAACTCTATGGAAGTGGTACACTAAAATAGTACTGGGAAGACTGTAGTATATATGCTTTGGAGATAAATGGCAATTTTACTGAACTGTAAGGAGTATTTAATTGATGTGAATGCAATGCTGGTGCTGTTGAAAGCTTGCTGTGTCTGTCTTTTTCTAATTTGTTCCTGTGTCAGTAGCTGTGAGGGTCTGTGTTAGAAGAAGCATGATATTGCAGATATTCCTACAGGAGGAGCTGAAACTTTAAATTGCCTCACAGAAGTAAAGCTCTTGAATAAAGCACACCAGTGTACCAGTTCCACACAAAATTAAAGCACATTCCATTGTGATTGGGAAGCTGAATGGAAAGTGTTATTAATAACAAGATAATATACTATAAAACTGCTCGAAAGCATGCTTGTTCAAAAGCTGCTTAGCCATAATTTCCATGTTTGGCTTATAGCACTTCAAAGAATCATTAGGAAGACTTCCAAGAAATTAGATCAGATCTATCTTTAGAAACAGACATTTCTTAAATGTTTGATATACCTCAGGCTGTTGGGGGAAATTATATTTTGGCAGAAAATCACAGCTAGAACATTTCAGGTGATTTGACAGGAACAGAAAGTAGGGAGGAGTATGACAAAGAACCTATATAGGGACTGAGGGGTGTTAGGTTTCAAGCACTGCATTAGTCTGGGCAACCCCGGACACATGCTTAATTTCCAAGAGTATGATGAGGAGAGGATTGTCCTCTTTCTTCCCATTTGATCCTTAGAAAAGTATCCAGTTGCAATTTCACCCTGTGTGAGGTCTTACCTTTTCTGTGTGGACTTTAAAGAGGCTGAAGTTCTGGCTTTTTACATCTCCCCAAAGTTAGCTATCCTTCCTTCTTCTGGAAGGTGTTGGCAAAACAGTCTTGGGAGTTGGCTTATGTGGTGTGTGGGTTAACAGAGCTGTAACCCAATTCCAAATGCTCAGTATCTTCTCTGTGTGTGGGAGGAATGGCAAAGGGCCTGGTGAATGATATGCCATCAAAGCAGCTACAATTTAAGGAGCCAATTTTGGGTAAGAGCTCCTTGAACTGTCGGATGAACACATTGTGCCTACCAGAGGCAAAAGGCAATCTCCAGAGGTGCTGTATTTTAACTTGCCACTTAAATACACTCGACGTGAACTAACAATCCTTGCTGTGCTTTAGTGGGCCCTCGTGGAGCCACCTACCCCTCCCTGAAGGACACGTGGAGCCACCTACCCCTCCCTGAAGGACACGTCAGCTACAAATCAGATAATCTGCACAGATTAGTGAAAACTGGAGAATTGGTCGGTTTTACTTAGTGGAATCTACACATTAATGGAATGATAAAATATTTGGGTTGAGAGTAGTGTAGAGAACTGTGTTACTGTAAAATTGTTTTATTTGATGGAAAATTACTATTTGTTTTCCAATTATAAGTGATTAGCCTGTTGAGGATTGTTCTTTTTTAACTTCACAGAAATGCGAGTAGGAAACAGTCTTGAAAGCTCTGTTGTAGTTGGCAGTTTGGGCTTGCTCTTTTTGTACGTTTGGTTTTAGTTAGTAAATGTGAGTTTAAATTTTAATAATGGTATAGTCATGGGAGTGTAACAGCAAGAGCAAACAAAAGCCTGATGTAATTGAAGATGAGTGATTTGTGTAGCTAATAATTAGACATTCTGTTTAACATTATGGTTAAGGTGTATCACATAGATACAATACAAGTAGGTGTAACAAAGCGATTCTCTGGAGCTTACTATAGGCTGATGTTTATTATCACCAACCCTCCTAGCAACTGTTTTTCCATGCAGTGTAAAAGTCAGAAAATGATTAGTTCTAATAGGCTGAAGCCTGGCTGGAAAAATAAGGATTTAAGGAACAAATTCTAATCCTCTTGATTTCTGCTCCCTTGGTGAAGCTGAGGCCAGCTGTGTGGAGTGGAATGTAGACGAAATGTTCCATGAGTCCATCTACCACCTGGTTGGAGTTGCCTGAAAGTGGACTCTACATGAGCCAGCCCAGACAAGACCAGCTCTGGTGTTTTAAAGCCTATATCCTCTACAAAACCTGTCCTTTTCTTTAAAGATCTTGCTGTAACTTCTGTGTGAGGAACCTGGTAAAAATGGCAAGTATTAATAACAAGCTGTCCAACCTCAGTACAGTCTTCTGATAGAAGAAGATTGTATAGAAAGGAATAGATTGAAAGAATTGTATAGATTGTATAAAAGGAATGTAAATTTGTCTACTGGTTAGAAAGGTTTACTTGCCTTCCTTTCTTCTTGAGTTTATTTTTTGGCATTACAAAGTCTAAATTTGTAGCCAGTCTTAAGTAGTAGTGGCCAGATGGGAAAGGAGGAGTGAGAGGAGGAGTTTACTTGAGGTCTCTAGAATTTTCATTCATAAGCAGCAGCACCATTTGCCTTGTCACTGATAGCAGGACTAGACCCAGTGTCCTTTTAACAGGGCAGCACATTCAGAAAGTAAAAAACAATTTTCTTTTGGTCACATTGTGCTCAGAGAGCTTCAAACCTGTTTTCTTGCTGATGACCTTCTGAACATGGACTGAAGAATTTTATTACGTTGGAGGAGAAAAATGTGACTTACCTAGAAGGCTAGGTAAGGATGTGACCTTCCTGTGGAAGAAAGCAAAAGAGTCTACGGGCTTAAGTTATCCCAGAAAATGATATTCTGTTGGAGCAAGTCAAAATTCGTGTCCAGATGATCGTACTTGCTTTCTTTAAACTGGCTTCTTTACCTATTCCAGTCTTGCTGGCTTACCGGATTTTTATAAACTATATTTTTATGAACTATGCTTGTCAGTTTTTTCATCTACATATCAAAATAGGATTCCCTTTTAGTCCTCGGGAGTGAGATCCTTTGTTCTGCCTGGCTCCTTCAGCAGCTCTGATCTCAATGGCAGCCAAAGCAGCTGGGCATCCTCTCACTCGTTGCTGCAGTAAAAAGAGCAGTGAAAGAAGTTGTCTCATAGTCATACCACTCTCCTGTATTTCTACCAGCTGTGGCTAAGCACTCTTCTTGTCTGATAATTTCTTCTTGTATTGCTGTCTCTCCCTCACACTCCTTTCAGATTTTCTTTCTAATAAATTTCTGGACATCAGGTTTCCCATCAAGGAAGAAAAAGAAAAGGAAAGTTCTTGTACCCAGAGGCCTGTTTGTCTCATGTTGTTCCTGAACTTTCTTGCCATTCTGCTATGAAGGAACAGGGACCCTCCATACAAGCTTGGATATATCTCTCCCTACACATTACCACATATGTATTAATTGGTCACATCTATACCCAGATCTCTTTGTTCTTTCTTATACCCATCCAACAAGCCTAGCCTGCGTTACTGTCATGTGGTC